TGAAAGTCTTTAATTAAGTTCTGATGGTAAAACAAGAGAACTTTGCACAAATCAGATATTATCTACTCATAAAGTAGTAAATTATAACTATGACAGAGGGTTAATAAATCCGTTACAAAATAAAATCAATAAAATGTTTTTGTGTCAGATTTTATTTAAGAATTTTAAGATATCGAACTGTGACAAAGATATAAATGATGCTTATGCTTGTGCTGGAAATGTGGCTAAATTAGAACAAACAAAAGCGGCAAATTAACACAATAGAAAATAAAGGATGAGAGGTGGCTGACGAGTAGAAATAAGAAAACCTCAAAGTTTAAGTAATAAACGAGGTCAGACTGGGACTCTGTTGCTAATTAAAGTATTAAAATGCAACCGTATGAAAAAAATGATTTAAGTGGAAAGTTCGTCAAATGGAACCTATTTACAGAAAGAAAAGACTTTTAACCACATTTTAATTGATTTTGAACCAGTTAAGACGTCTCATCTAACTTAAAGGTGATTAAAGGTCATTAAGCGATGAAGGATGCTGAATTGGTTCATTTTGTTGTAATGGAGGAGGTCAGAAAAGTCAAATAAGAGTTAAATTATAAGTAATTACATCATTAATGATGGTAGTGACACAGCAAATGAGTATTAATTAACAGTTAACTAATGAAGATGTGAACCCAGTCAGAAGATGAAGAACTTTTATGCAAACATTTAAACTGACATACTGAAATAAATCCATTAGAATTAGTTGAAATGTTGCTAAATGAAGGTGATTAAAGAAGAGTTAGTTATCTTGAAATTAACATTGCAATTAAATTCCAATTAATGTGGTAAAATGGTGAATTTAGACAACAAATAATTGCGCGAAAAGACCACATTATCAAACTGTGGGAAATTAGGATTATAATTAAAACGTAACAGATACATAATTAAAACGGTTTAATGACACAAAAATAAAATCAATTAAGATGGAAATTGTCAGTAAAAACTAATAGTGTGGATAAAATGTTTAAACTACAGATGGTTACAGTTAAAATCAGACATGATGAGAAGTTATTGCAAATAATGAAACTGTTAATTAGGGTTCAGAAGGCCGATAATTAAGGTGATTAATGAAGGTCACATTAGAAAAATGAAGTGACGAAGGAGCTCAAACTTCATCAGAAAACAGCTAAAAGTTTATCTGCTACTATTTAGAATAAAGGTCAGTTGTGTTGAATGAAGTCAGTCGTTGGATCCTGGTCAGCTTAAAGGTCATCAAAGGTTATTAAAGGTCACAGCAGTCGGACTGTCTGAGGCACCGAAACACCAACAAAAGTCCAGCGATGTTTCTGAGGATTTAAGAAAAAATGAATCGATGAAGACAACGAAAATGATAAAAAGAAGAAACATGAATAAAAATGCTAACTACCACAATAAATAATAGAGAAACTGAAATAGTTTAGCTAAATAATTTCTGATTATAATTAGTTTGGCAGCCAGAATGTAAAATATCAAAATGAATATCTGTGGAATAACTGATCAGTTGTTTGGGAAGAAATTATTTGAATATTCGGTACTTTTCTGTTTTATTGTCGCTGTTTTTATTTATTTATTGCTCTCATTTTGGCTTTCACAGAACAGTGACGTTGTTTTTCATCATTTTCTGACATTTTATTTTCTGAAGAATCAGCCAAGTACCAATAAAAGTGGCTGTCAGGCATTTGGAGATGAAAATAATTGTTAGTCGCAGCATCACAGTTCCTCTGTGGAAGAAACTTACAACCTTATGTGATGTTTTTTTTATCTGTTAATGAACTGAAACGCACAAAAAAATCTTGATGACACAACTTTAATGCAGATTTAAATAATTTAGGGTGAATTTGTGCATTTTAGTCTCCACAACCTGCTTGTCACCTGCACTTTACCCACCTGTAGACACAAAGTGAAGCTTTAATTCTTACAACTGAGACAAAAGCGGGGTGACCTACGGCTCAACGCTGCACCTGAACGCCTCTTGTTGTGTTGACGTTAACCAGCTGTTTGTTAAATGGATGAAAACTGATGCCGATTGAGTAACAGCTCTGTTGTTGACTTTTAGGCTGAGACAGAAAACAGACGCTTCAAACTCGAGTTTCATTTCTGACAGCATGAAACAGGAAACCACTGATCTGTGTGTGACACATGCACAGTTAGAGTGTAAATACAACGTATACAACAACACACATTCTCACAGGACGTGTATCTGTGTGACCAGCTGTTTGTTTTACTGTATGTCTGTGTGTATTTGTGTTTTCATTTGTTATTGTGTGTCTGTGAGTGAGTTTCTTTTAACAAGTGGCTGTGTGTATTTTCTTTGCCTGTGTTTTTGAACTTGTTTCCACTGTGTGTGTGTGTGTGTTTGTGTGTCTGTGTATAAACTTGTTTCCACTGTGTGTGTGTGTGTGTTGTGTGTCTGTGCGTGCAGGCTGAAGCTCTGCAGGGTCTCCTGGATGAAGCCGACAGCAGAGTCGCACTTTCTGTGGAGAAGAAAGCCAGCGTCATCCCGCGGGTGAGAACATNGATGGATGGATCTTGAGAAAACGACGTAGAAAGAACAGTAGCGGAAAACGACCGCTCTCGGCTTCCGTAGGTAAGAGAGCAAGTTGGTTAGCAAATAACTAGAAGTAGCAGGTCAAGTTAGCAGTTTACAGGACACTAAATAGTTAGCTTTGTTATTAGCGAGTCTGTTAGTATGTCATTTGAGTTACTAAATTGATTGCAGGTCAGGTACCAGATTGAATTACGGGTTGGTTAACAGACTGATTAGCACATCAGTTAGCAGGTTAACCAATAGGTCAGTCAGCAGATTGAAAAATTGAGCAGTTATCAGATTAATTAACCTGTTGATTTATTTTAGGGTTAGTTAACAGGTCAATTAACATATTGGATTCCAGTGCAGTTAGCAGGTTGATGTGAAGGTCACTTTATTGGTACACAAATTAGAAGTTCAGCTAATAAGTTAACTTGCCGATCAGTTTATGTACTAACTTGCAGGTCAGTTATCAGACTGATTAGCAGATCAGTTATTTAATTGGTTTATAAGCCGGTCAGTTAGCTGGTTAACTTACAGGTTAGGTAGCAGGTTAGGGAGCACTTACAGTGTATGTTATTATAATTGAAGTTTCCTACTTTTTGTCTGTATGTATGTTTTCCATTGTTGTGTACGTTGTGTCCAGGTGAAGATAAATGGTTACACACTGAATTTAATTTGTTTTCCGCTGATGTTCACCTCCAGCTGTGCTTTCATCGCTGAGCGCGCTGCGATCGTCCAATCAGAGAAGAGCTGCGTCCGATTCACCTTTAGTTTGAGTGTCGATCAGGCAGTCGGAGCTTATCGACGAGGATCACAGACAGGATGGCATTTAGGTTTCAGCATCCAGCCCACAGAGATAAGACACTTTAATTACTGTAGCGAACCCACGGAGAGCTGCAGGAACAACATCAGGATAATAGAAAGCAGCTCTGTTCAGCGTCTCTTCATTACAGTCAGTCAGAGCTGATTACTTCTCAGTCATCTGAGGAGAAACACGACTCCTCTGTTCTGAGGACAGTCACACCAAATCTACTAGAAACACTCACACGAAGATTGAAGCAAACTGTTTTATTATTCAAAATCTTCATTTATGGTTAAAAA